GCAGGATACATCCTTAGCTGCTTATTATTTCAAAGTTCAAAAGCTGTATTGCAGTGTGGAAGAATATTCCGAATGACGAACACTGGCTTTCCTTTAATATTGAAATGCTCTCCGTGGAACCATGGTCACTCAGTTTGCAATTCAAGTTCCTGGATATTAACAACGATACTGTGCTCACCGAAAATGAGGTGCATTTTTTATTTTGCAATTATTTTAAAATCCGGAATCTGTATCACACCGTTGCTAGAAGCAGTTCGGCTCGTGAGAGAATATGAATAAAGCTTTGGAAAGCCTTCAACTGCATGCTTTTCTCATTAATACTTGGACCGTCTTGTGTTGCCTCTTAGCAGAGTCGTTTGTTTTCTAATGGGTACCAATTCTGAACAAGCCTGGCAAGTTTGACAAAAACGAAAGTACTAGCTGCAATTAATAACTGTTTCTTCAACTGCGCAACTGGCGATTTTTTTCGGTTGCTCTGACCAATACTGCTGCACATGACGGCCAGGTTGTGTTCTTAGGCGCGAAAATAAGACGCGTTGTCATTTTTCAAACTGAATGCGCCACTTGTTCAGATTTAAAATTGTTTGTTGACTCAATTAACACCGTTAAATTAGAACTGGCTAGTTTTTATTTTTTGCGATTTTTAGCTAGTGAAATTCCAAGAGCGTATGAAGAAGAATTTTGGTAAAACATGGAGCAATGAAGATATCGACCAGGCAATGGCTGCCAGATATTACATCAAGTAGTATTTCAGCCTTTATTTTGTATTAATTGTCTGCTGAATAGCTCCTACATTTGCTTTCAATATGGTGAATAATATAGGATGATTTAGATGACAGTAAAAAGCACAGTGGTAACCCAGGTATAGGTAAACGTTGATTTTAAACTTTCTGAATGGCATGTTTTTTGGCTAGGAACATCCTTGCGAAATCCTAACTTTCTAGCTTCTACGGCAGCTGGGTTAAATATGAGTGACAAAAATCCGAACACACACATACCCTAACAATCTCTTGACACTGCGCGCAAATGTATTTGCATAAAGATGAAAAAAGACCATAAAATTCAGCGGTATACGGGCTGTTAAAGCAAAAATTTCTGGGGAACTTCTGATCCAGCAAAAATTTCCAGGGAACTTTCCAGGTCACTTCTGATCCATGCATCCAGGATGCTTAGAAAATATTTCATATTTATACATTCCATCTTGCTTCTTGTGGATTAAAAAGTGGCAGATAGTTCAACGTTACGAGACGTAAAAACCGGTTTAAAAGTATTTTCTTCTGAACGACCGTGCTTGTCTCTTGCATTTATTGTTCGATAAAGCAGAAAGTGCCTGATAGTACTAGTATTAGAAAACTTTCCTTTTTTTTTTGGAAAAATAGTCCTTATTTGTTCTCGCATCTACCAACAAACGAAATTTCAGATACTTTGACGTGAACAGAGATGGCCGAATCGATTTTGATGAATTCCGGCGAGTAATGGAACGAGATATGGCAACAATGGCAGCAGCAGCAAATAATAAAAAGCCGGAAGGTCGAAAACGAGACCCGTCAATTGCTTGGATTCTGGATTTCAATAATGATGGTATCGTTTCTGTGCAGGCAAGTTCACTTACCTTTAAGTTGGGAGGTTAGTTATTGCGCTAGCTAGAGAATTTCCTTCTGGAAGAGGTCAAAAATTCAAAAGTCAAAAACCCCTTTAGTATTCCCTCTCACTGAGAAGCGGAGACGCTCAGAAAGTATCCCAAGTGTTAGTGGACCCCAACAGCAAACATCCGCTACGATGAAAGTCAAGCAATCTTATTAGCCTCACTACTTGGCGAATTTGATTAAAAACGGTTTCGGTGATTTTCGTGGCTAAGTCAGTTCCTACGTGTGTGTGAACCTTTGTGTGTATTTGTGTTTGTTCGGATAATTCAGAATTTCAGAAATTAGGGTTCATAGTCACTTCATTGGGCTGCTTACTTGAAATCAACAGTTAAGTCCATTATGCTCTGCTAACAAATTCTTTGTGTTCAACCAAAAAATTCACGTCCAACTTCTAACTAATGTTTGGAGACAAAAAAAATTCTAATATCAGAATTTAAGCCAATTGACCACTAGATGCAAGTAAAATAACCTGAAAGTTTAACTTCGAAATCTTTCTGCATTCTGTCCGAACTTACTGCCTAGGTCCAAACTAGGTCTGATAAGCAACTAAAAGCTCATTAAGCTTAAGCATAGTGTGAAGGATCTGGAAAACAACTCGATGGCCTGGTTTTATGCCCAAGCATTTTTCGCAGATTTGTTTGACCATCTGTAGTTATT